CATAGGTGAGTTTTAATGGATGAGTAACTAGAGGAATTGTTTCAGCCCTACTCGAGACATAACGTCAGAGGACCCGCTAGTGTTGATTTTTATTTTAGATTTTATCCTTTTCCTCTTTACTCTACATTCTCCTGTGCTGCTGTGCCAAATGTGTATTAGATCAATAAAGGAAACTCTTATGTAATAGCAGTATCTATAAGGTTAGAACCTTATTGATTTTCGGGTTTTGAGAAATTTGGAACCGGGTCCTTATAGAACCAGGTCTCGATCCCCATCCCTAATTAAGATGGTGACCATTTTTAACAACATACCTGCTAAACATAAGCATGTTAGCATCAAGCTAGGTGCTACAGCCTCAGAGTCACTAGCATTGCTGAGGAATCTCAGACCATAAATTCAGGCTTCTAGTCATCAGTTTTCATTGAGACTGTCAGTGAGCTGTTGATTCAGCATGTTAAGGGGTTTGCCATAATCTGCCCTCTTCATGTGGTATTTAAATGTGTGTGGTAATACCAAATGGAATACATTCAACTGCTTTTACCTGAAATGAGGCCTTTTGAAGTGTGCAGCACAATATCACTGTAACAAACAACTTTCAGTAAATCCATTAGTCTGGAGCACATTGTATCAGAAGTGCACTTTATTTACATGTCACAATGTATGATGGTATTTTATGTCCAAATCAGAAGAGAAGGAGAGAAGGAGAAGAGGTTAACAAGGAGAGGATAAAAACAGCAGACAGATGCTTTAACAATTCCAGGACCTGTTGCATAGTTTGACCTGATAAAACAGAATACCTGCCTCTCTAATGTTAGGCTGTTGGATATTGGGAACACACAGCATGAGACCCAAAGAGACTGTGTTGCTGCACAGGGCCCTGGTCTTACTCCAAAACCTGCTACCTGCTGGTTTCTTGTGGGAGACCGGAGACCAGAAACCTGATTGGGATCAGAAGTGTCTCTTCGGTGGCCTTCCATCAACTCAGCACATGTTCTTTCACAGTGAAACATCACCACAAGTGACAAGGATGGACCAGGACGGGAGTGTGAGAATCTCCTCCAGAACTTCATAAAGCACTCTTTAAAAGTGAAAATGGGCACAGGGTATGAACTGAACTATGCTAATAAAGTGCCAACTGACCCTTCTTAAGTCCCGCCCCTTTTCATTCTATGCTCCAATAGCAGTTGAGCTAACCTCAGTCAGAGCCTCGGTCAGCTGTCTCTTTTCCTGTGCTTGATATGGTATGTGCTAGGCTAATCTATGAAACCAAATTTTGGAGATAGGTAAAAGACACATCATTAATCATTAGCCAGCTAGCTAACTTGTTACATTACTTGTTAGCTAGCTTGTTTATTTAATTGCTAATGTTAACAATATGGCCTTACAAATGCTAACCGCAGTAATTACACTACCAATTAAACTGAGAAAAAAGACTTCAAAGATTTTTGACCAGCTAGCCAAATGTGTTCATAGTAGAACAGCAGTGTTCATAGTAGAACAGCGGTTGTGTGCTTATTAAATATGTGATATCAGTAATTGTCATGGCTTAAAAATCACGACCAATTATTTGAGCTATGACCTCAAAACTGCAGATACTGCCCTCTGCCTTTGCACTACCTGTTTATGATAATTATGTCTTATTACATTAAATCTGTATTTCTAATTTAATTTAAGTTTCAGATGTAAAACGTTGAGATAGATGATTAATTGAGTAAAAAAGGAATTATTTTGTGAGGATTAAACTATGACATTTATTTTGATTAGCACAATAATAGCTTGTCCTGTCTACTTAGCTAGCACTAGCACAGTAATATCCAAACTATTCTTACTATCTGCTACAATGGGCTCAGCTAAAAATACACAGATGAAGTCAGTAAGAGTTGTCAGTGGAGAACATGAAGATTCCCTTCATTTAAATCCTCTACATTGTCCTTAAATTGTCCTGAATTCAGGATTTACACCACCGAAGCGGCAGTAACTCCAGCCGAAGCTCAGAGAAATTGAGGGAGCGCGAGAGGTTTTTGGTTGGATTTTGTTGTTACTGCAATTTTTACATAGTTTTTTCTCCAAGATAAAAAAAAAAGATTTGTCACAAGATAAAACAGACATTTAAAAGTTCAATTTCAGTCATAACTAATTTTTACCTAAATTGTAGTTCGCCATCTTCAAAATGTGGTTGTCTTTTCAACATAG